CAAACGCTGCCTCCGATCTTTCGAATACGACCCCCCCCTTTTCGTCGGCCGAATACGAAACCCTCGTTGGACTTTGTCCAACGGACGGTTGACTCTGGATTCAGATTCGCCGCAGTGAGATCCTATGAGCCATAGACCAGATCATTTTTATAACGCTTTACAGGACGGATGCAGCGGTGCGAAGTACGACCCGAAAGCCGGCTCTTGTGCTCTTTCTTATAATGACAAACAGTTCTGTGCTAGAAGAGATGTGATTTTGCACTACAAAGCCGACGGACTGACTTGGATACACTGTGTGAACTGCTGTAAGTATACTAAACTTCAGTTTAATTTTACTAAATTTGTTTGCAAAGTTCAGAACTTTCTCCATTTCTCCGCTTCATCAACCAACCAGTCTCTGTTTAGATACGCTGAAGGATACTGACGAAGAGCCTTCTGTTCCGTCAACTGCCGAGGCTCCAACAAAAGCTACAGGAACCAGCGCTGAGACCACTACTTCGGCTTCTTCAGAAGGCATAGCTGAGACTACTGCTTCCATCGCATCGGAGGCATCCACTCCAACCACTCAGGAAAGCATGATCGAAACTAGTACACCCTCAGAAGCAACCGATCAGACATCTACATCGATTGGTTCCGAACCAAGCTCAACAACAACCAAGTCACAGAAGGAAGAAGGAGGCGTTCCTCCTAAAACTGCTTCACCTACTGAATTCCAGCGAGGTACGATCTGTCTTGCTTCACATTCTTCTTGACATTTGTTCAGTCGAAACAGCACTATCAATATGAGGGTCAAATTCATAACTTTGAAGGACTCCTTGAGCCAGGCTGTGCACTACAATTCCCCCCTCCCCTTACCGTCGATATGCACACTTGTGTAAAGTGAATAACAGAGATGAATGTGACACGAATGCAAATGAAAAAAAATTAGTGAAGAAAAACCTTAGTTGAAAACCTTCAACAAAGTCTTCCTCTTTTTGAATTGAAGTAGGGGGGAAACGTGCGGCTGAGTTGTTTGGTAACTTGCTACATGATTATGGTGGCATTGTCGCCCATGTATGATGAGATTCGAAAGAAACTCGCTTGAAAACTTCGTAGAACGTTGGATTTAGCGACGATTGTTGAATAGGTCCGAAATAAAGGCGAAAGGACAGGGGCCGGCTAATAGGCAGACTGTCAGGGTGAAATCAAAGGGTGCAATCAAATCCAGTTTGTCTGCTTAGACGAGTGAAAACGGTAGAAAAGTGAACAACACTGGTTGAACGCCCTCAGCACCCTCTATAGGATTTATTTCTAATGCACAGTTGCATTGCCGCCCCCTATCCTGCCATATATGTAGCTAATAATGTCGAAATCGTCACTCTTCGTTGTCTTGTCCGTCAACTCCGTTTCTGGTGCTATTCATGAAATCGATTTATCGAAAATGAATCAGGAGGGACGTTCAAAAGTATGGTTGTCAAGGTGAGTGAGGCTCGAGATGCTGGAAGCACAAATGAGGTATATGCAAGTCATTGCACTTAATGAACGAACGGGCGTTAGCGAAAACTCATAATCCGATTCGAGGCATGCCGTATTCTGCCTGATATGGAGGTTAAAATATGACGAATAATATCGAGTCGCACTGTCTAAGATTACAAATGTAAAACCACGTTCCAGCGGAAAAAAACGATGAAAAAGAACAAAACCTACGCACGACTTTGTTAGAGTCACATATAAAAATTACAAAATTGAAAAAGATGACCATTTTTTGAAGAGTGCATTATATTTCGATTTCTATATTTTCTATTCGTCAATATCAGCTATATTGCGGAACGAGTTCTTGCCACTTCGACATGTCATAATGGCATTCTGGTGAAGTGCGAGTTAGTCTTTGACGCGCATTATTCTTCGGTCCACTTAAAAATGGTGATGGTTGAGCTCCACGAGCAGTTGCTTCCAAGTGCATTACTGTAGCTATTGATGCGCCAAGTTAAACCCAATGCCCGTCCGCTACCAACCCTCTTCAAGTCTGACCAGGATTAGACATTCAGAGTTAACTCAATTCACGCCGATGGCCGCCCATATGGGCTGCCAACAACATGCGCTCCTGGGACGATGGCAGCCCATATGGGCTGCCAACTGATAATCGCTTGCCAGGCGCTAGGAATGGACAGATAGGTGGGCAAACCTCGTAATCGAGTGTAAAATGCTTTTAAATTCCTTCACGGGGAAAGTGAATAAATGCTCTCTTTTCGTAACCACTATTTGTCGTTCTGATCGAAATCCTACTGTTATATGTTTAGATAATCTTTACGCATTGGACATTGCAGAAATTATTTTGTGACATTCATGTTTTTGTTCATTTACAAAACAAAATCTGCGGTTGTGGTGAGGCGGCGGCGCCCACAAAATCGCGTCCGTCCCACGCGACCGAAAAGTGGAAAAGGGGCGTCGTCGTGAATGTGTTAAAAGGAATGTGGTGACTTGAGCTTCTCTCCTTCTTGTTAAGTTTGATCCCTGCAATAGAGTCAAACATCAGGGACGCAGTATACGGTACCATTCCTTGGCTTACTTTTGGGATCAAAATCACTTCCACAACATTACTGTGGAGGACAGAGTTTCGTAGAGCTCCCTTCACGAAATTACGATTAGCATGTTCAACTTTTCTGTCTTCAGAAAGGGAGTAATACAGTAAAATATCGATCATAAGCAAGAGAACTTCTGCATACGTTAGTCATTCCTTTACGAAAAAGATCATTTAAAAAAAAAAAACAAAACAGAGGAATCGTAAGGGTTGAAATGAGATAAGAAAGAAATTGGTAGGAATTTGTGTTGGTGGAAACTTAGAAGAACTCTCAATCTAACGTCTTGTACCTGATAACAACGCAGTGGCGCATAATTCGATGGAATCCACAAGAAGTTCGAGTTCGAATGGGAGCAGTGAATTCCTTCGGTCGTTCCTCGAAAGGACTGGCTTGGAATTTGATGAGACAACCTGAAAAGAATGTCAAGGTATGTTCCACGAAAGTCAAGAACTCTTACAACGCAATGATTTGCGGAACCACTAAATGGCGACCGCTGCCATCACCATACACTTCGTGTAATGCAGAGATCTCTCCTAAAAAGAGGGCTAAATAAAGAGGCAGTACTTCTATACTGCACACACTTCTACCGCACAAATTAACACTTATTTGCAGGGGAAACATGGGGGCATTTATGGAGAGTGGATGAGTGACAAGCATCCTAGATCATCATACAGTCAGCGCTACGATTTGAAGCAACAACCACAGATGAAGCCGCGTCGAATCGCCCGCGTATACAGTAGCGGTCAAAAGTGCTCGCCAAAACTAATTTTTCCTGTTCCTCTTTTCTTTTGCCAGAAAGAAATTGGTGGTGACCCCAGAATTTGTTCGGATAGCTTGATTCTATAATACTCAAGGATTTAAAAACACTAGAACCTATAGTATATCAAGCTCTGGAGGGCGTTGCTCAAGTGAGAAAAAGAATGCACGAAATCGTTCCGGCGAACGCTAGTGACCGCAACTGTGACTAGTGATGCGGTGCTGTCAGGCGAACCAAAGTGCGCTTGGAGGGTGGAGCAGGGCCTGTACAAGGGGAGCTCTCAGGCACAGGTGCGCTTTCCTAAAACCGGTGTTTGTGCAAAGTGTTGGGATGCATGTAGGGAACGCAAAAACCACGCTTAAATATCAAAATCAGATGTCAAATTCATCGTCAGGACCATTTTGAAGCCAACAAGTGGCCGCCAACCTTGATTGCAAAATTTAGTCGCCGCGGGATTGAACCATCAAGAGTATTATTCACCACTTTTTTGGTACTACTAAAACCGTTCAGCGAAAAAAACATGGTTTTGTGGTCCATACATGCGTTCCCTACAACATGTACTAAACCGTTTCCAAAAAGCGCACCTTGCCCTGAAAGACCTCCTTTGTTAGAGTGTAAGCTAATGGACGAGATACCTCGGACACACTCCGTGGATTACGACGCAGCGGCTGATTCAAAGTGCGCGGTCAGTAGAGC